TGAGAGTTGACTTCGCTGCCTTAACCCTAACCTAAGTGGTTTGAGGGCAACACTTAGGGTTAGGGTTGGATGTAAGGGAAGTGGGGCAGCGTTGCTAAGGGAAGCTGCCCCCACCTGGTTAGGTCATGTGGGGTCGACATTGAACCTAACCAGGTTGCTTGAGAGTGAGATTAGGGTGGCGAGACATTGCGAGGAGACTTCATGCGGCAATTTGAGAGAGGCGACAGTCAGAGGCACTCGCACCTGGAATCTGATTCAAGGGAGACACTTGGCAACTTAAGGGCTGCCCTCAAGTAGGTGAGCTTGAGGGTTAGCGGGCTGCAAGTTGCTACTTTGTTCTTCAGCATCGATGGGGGATCCGACGTTGCACTTTGGTGTTGGAGTCAGACCCTCCTAGGAGATAGGACACTAGTGTAGGGGTAGCGTTAGAGGGGTCAGGAGGATCACATGAGAGGGGGGTGAGTTCTATTCATCTCGAAGCTCAAGGCCACTCAGGTAAGTGCCGTGCACCTACGGGATGCCCATGAATGTGTGCATGGTATGGTTTGTCTTGTTGGGGTTACTCTGGGTTTCTTTTCCTACTCCTCTGTGGTCTTGATTGTGTGATTGAATGTGTGTAATCTACCTACTCATCGGATGGATGGAAAATGAAGTATCTTGATCCGAATGCCAAGTCTTTCTACAATGCTTTGTCTTTTCATCTCTGAACGGTTGTAGTTTGTGGGTCCTGCCGGAAGTTGAAATTTTGTTTTTTCGGTGCGGTAGAAACTGAACTGAGTCCATGTGGGACTTCTCTTGGTTGGGACCTGGTCGCGGCCTACATGGGACCTCTGGGACCCAGTGGGACCGGGCCCAAACAAGAAGAGCCCTTTGGACCCAAATCTATTTGGCATTAGTCCATTGTCTTCCTGACGGAGATTTGAAGTTTTATTCTTGTTGGTTAGGACAGCCACTGCCGAGGTTATCTCGACTGAGACGTTTCGCATGCTTTTGGGTGCACCGTCCGTGGCTTGACTCTCACCTTGTACGCCACTCAATTCTCCATTGTTGCATTTAGTCACTCGTCTGATTTGCTGCACGATCACGGAGCTGGTTAGACTGGACTCGAGAGGACCTCGTATGTAGTCTGATCAGACTGGGTCACTGGATCAGACCTCTCATGTGAATTTGTTTGTCGTTCTTTGATTTGCTGCTCTCTAAGTCCAAATGAAATGTCGCTCCGGCTAGGATTTCTGCCTTCTCTTCTCCGAGTTTTTCAGTATGTTTCTCTGAGTTCATTTCCGATGCCCGTGGAGACTCGCAACCAGAAAGAAGAGATAGAGAGGAGGGAGAGAGAAAAGGAAGAGAGGGAAAGTGATCGTCTCGGGTGGGCAAGGACTGGGAAATGGAGTGTTCATCCAAACGAAAAGGGGAATGTACCTCTTGAGAGTCTGATTGATTCTTTTGTTGATTGGGTTCTCTCCGATCCACCTGCCGACGACAACGGTCCGAAAACAGCCTAGCCACGGCTAACCTCACTCCAGTGGAAGGCCCTGTTAGATGCAGCCAGCGATGAGGAGAAACCGTATTTGCAAGCACTCCTAGATTGTGCCATCAAAAGGGAACAGGAGACAAAAAAGGAGAGGAAGGAATTGTTGTTGAAAAGTCAGGAGGCGATCTTGGAAATTGTTCCCTTGCTGACCAAAGAGCAGTGTGGGGAACAACTGCAGTCCATACTTACCGCTATCGTCCAAGTCCGAAGCCTTGGAGATCATGCCACTTAGATCGCCGAAGTCTTCGCAAAATTGCAGAAACTTCAGGAGGATCTGACTGAGATGACCGGTAAGTACCGTGACTTGACGATAGAGGTTGCTGCGCTGCGACAAGCCCAAGCGGCCAATCCTTTTCCTCTACCCCGTGGTTTCGGAGCTGCAATTGAAACCAACTCTGCCCTTCTTACCGTATCTTCTTCTACTTCTTCCTTGAGTGTGATGGCAAACCCATCGGGACCTGCAACAGGTGCAGATTCCGCTGTTGCCGTAACAAGCAACGGGGCAGGAAATTTTGCAACTGCTGCAGCCCCAAAATCTGAACTAGCAGGTGCTGGTCCTAGCCATGTCGGTCCCTATGTGGATCGAAAGGCGGTGCAAATACCGTCCAAGTATGACGGCAAAGAAGATGTTGAATCCTGGATCAACTCCATGAGGGCATACTTCGGGGTTTTGGGGACTCAACTTGAGACCCAGTCAATGATCATGGGAATGAATGTCGAGCCTGTTGTACGGGGCTTCCTAGAGGTCCAAGCTACGCGAGTTGGGTTTCCTAAGATAGAATTGACAAGGTGGCTTAAGGCCACCCCGATTGTCTCCCTCGAGGAACTCCGCATTTCCTAATGTATGGATCCACATGTTGCAACAAGGGCAAGGAACCAGCTTGATAAAATTAAACGCAGCAAGTGGACGGGCTCCATGAAAAGCCTGCAGACCTACCTCAGCAAGATGTTTGCTACACCCGGGTTAGAATTGAGTGACCAATCTTGCTTGGATGTGGTCAAAGGCGCGGCTTCCACCAGTTTCACCAATCGCCTTGGGAGGGACTTCGTTGGGTACATTGACTGGTTCACTCTTAGGAAGGACATAGTCAATCTTGAGGCTATAGACCTCGTTTCCACAGCAGGCAACAAAAAGCCCATGGGCGGCAGGCGGT